TTGCAAAACCAGTTCTTTACCTTTTTTTTGACCTAGTACATTTCACTATGGGGGTGTGGTATGGCCTGTTTATCTATCTTTCCCCTCCTTTGCTTGCTCGGGGCAGCAGTAATCTCATTCTTCTCCTCCTCCTCGGAGTTACTGGAGCAAGAGCTGTCTGACTCTGTTGACTCTGCTGGAGTAGTACATCTGCTTCGACCAATCCCAGTTCTAGACAGCACTAAGCATGACTTACACTGTGGTGGAAGCCAGGCTGTGTGCCTGCTCACTTTGAAGATGCCATCTCCAGAGGCGGCTCCGCAGTGTTCAGGGTTGCTGCGGAAACTCATGGGCCTGTGAGCAGAAGCACCAGACCCCCACGGGCAGGTCCCTCTCGGCAGAAGGCTCTGCCCCCCGAACCCGCCCCCAAGGACAAGTGGGGATGGGAGGAGGGCTCAGCTGCAGCAGACGGCCATGGCTGCAGCGATGGCTGCCGGAGCACTCCCCGCTGCTCCTTCACTGCCCGAGAGCACCCAGGGACATGCTCCCCCCATCCTGCCTCCAACATGCTCGGACGGTGGGGCCACCGCCGGGGGTGGCACCTGTGAAAAATGCATGTATTTTATGATTGACTTTTCGCAAATATTAAAATGAATATTATATGTGTTGTGTTAGAAAGTAATGCTGTATTAATTCTCTTAAATACTGTGTTAAATATAGTTTTAGGTTACAAAAAATGTTAAAATACAAACTATGCTATGTAGGATACTTTTTGTAAAGAAGGGACTTGCAGCAAGATAGCAGCCACAGGACACCTAAATCTTTCACAGAAAAAGAATCTATTGCCCTCTTATCAGAAGAAATGAACTTCTTCCTGCCTCGAAGGCGCTGTTAGGATTAGAAGGAAGAAGCTGACAATGACCAGACAGAATCCTGTGTTTGAGTAGAATTTATGCATCATGTATGAAGTGTATGAATATGCAACAGGCTATTGCTTTTAAGGGTTAATCCTCTGTTAATCTGTGTCCTTTCTTGGGCTCGTGCTGCCCAGAAAAAGGTACCCGGACGTCCGTAACTCTTTGTATTTATTGTCTTATGTTGTCCTAATTCAAGTTGTCCAAATTATTATTACGCTAATTGTATTACTATTTTTTATAACCATTTTATTACTATTAAACTTTTCAAATTTTAAAAACAACTGATTGGCATTTTTCACAGCACCGACAGCACCGGCAGCACAGGCGGGGGTAGAGGGGCTCCGGGCCCCACCCTCAGATCAGGGGTGATGAGGTCTAACTCCACCTTCTCCTTATTTTTACATCCACTGCTCAATATCAACTGCTTCTTTTTACTTTTCCTATCTTTTTTATTTAAAACCAATATATGCTGTTCCTTTTTGTTTGCTGATGGGCTTTGCTGACATGCTAATACCATAAAAAGCCTAGCATATTCTAACTTGTCAAAATATTTGTCCTCCCATATGTGGGATATTAAACTTGATATTAATTTCTTACCGGGACTACCAAATTCAGGCCACATCTCGTTGTCTAGTTCATATGTTGGACACATCTTTTCTGACAGCCTGATAAGTCTGGGTTTAAAAAGCAATGATCTGTAAGTTCGTGCCAGTTTTTCAATATTAACCCCAGAGGACTGCTTCTCGATATATTACTATTACAATCACAGGAGAATACAAACCCCATCTTAACATTAGTGAGTAGGAAAATCTGCAGAGATCAAAAGAACCAGCAAGAGGTAGAGAGAAAGAGCAAGCAAGAACAAGTAAGACGCAGGATTAGAGCTCACAACCTATGTGCAGGAGTTAACCTATGGCACTAGCCCGGGCCTCAGGCCAATACTTCCTACCGTAGTGCTAAAGGCTCACTTTTCCAGAGAGTCTCCTCTCTCACTCTAGTGGGTGAGACAGAGAGTGAACGTAAAGCAACTCCACCTGGACCCCCTAGGGTCCTTCCACACTAAACAAAACTACAAGAGATCTCCTAACAGCTAACACAGGTGCTAAAACAGAATACCTCCTTTATTGAGTTACTCACGTGCCTCCGTGCCGGGCCCAAGGATTCTCAGGCTCTGATACCTTCACTACTGCAGCTGGGGCACCCTGGGAGTGCTGGCAAGAGTCGGGGGGAGCAGCTAGGTCTTCCTCTGGTCCAGGGGGTTTTCCTGATGCCTTCTGTCCCTTCATGGGGTGCCAGAACTGATGCCTATGAGAGGCTGACCTGGAACAGAGGCTAGACAGAGTTAAAGGAATAAAGCAGGTGTTTATTAAAAGGCCTTTAAAGGATATACCTTGGGCAGTACAAGAGCCTGGCCGGGGCTCTGCCCAAGATGGACACAACATGGACCACCAGTCACAAGTTTTCACACTTTTATAAGTTTTTCACACTTTCATAAATAATGGTTTGGTAAATAACTATTTACATACTGGGGTTAGTTGTCCAATTATAACTTCAGGTTATGGAGTCCCATCCTCCTTGTCTTCTCCCTTCAACTCACTGTTTATGCTTTTTGGGTCTGAGGCCATAACAGATGTCCTTGGATTCTCAAACTGGAAAAGGATGGTTTTGTCTAACTACCCCGTGAAGAGAACTTACTAACAATTCATACAAAGTTCAGAGTTACACACAAGGCAGTATAGAATCCGAAAAATATGAAAGCTAAAACTTAGGGCATCACCCCCATGTCTGTGTCCTCCCATGTCCCCACCTATGTCTGGGTCACCCATGTCCCCACCTATTTCCATGTCCCCCCTTGTCCCCACCCATGTCATTGTCATCCCATGCCCCCATCCATGTTTAGTTCAATGTCTTTATTTTTACCCCAGTTTCAAGAGTTTCAAAGGGATGAACAGAAAGGAAAAGAAAATCAAGGCCAAAACAAAATTATTTACATGTCCTTGCCAGCAGAGCATCCATGTGCTTGGGTGGGTGGAAAGAACCTTTTTTGGAGGGGTTTCCATCCCACTGTCTCCAAAATCAGGGAGTTTTGCCCCAGTCTGTCCTCATTTGGCTGTGAAAGACAGCCGTGGGCCATGGAGAACTAAAACACTGGATTTATGTAGGAGAAGACCTGCAAAGCTATCCAGTATTGCTCAATGCCACTAGATGATGAAAAACGTGAGATTTTTCTGCAGTCAGAAGTTGACCAATCCACTCTCCACAATGGATTTCTGATGTTGGGCTGTGGATGTGTGCAGGTGCCCATGGGGAGCCAGGAGGATATGGAGCCCCCCAGGCAGTAGTCTTCCCAGCACGGATCACTGGCGCCATGGATCACCAGGGCTCTGCCCACCATGGCTCACTGGGGATCATCCAGCACGGATCCTCCAGCGAGGGATGGAGCTGGAGCAGCACAGGAAGCTCTTCCTGCCCTCAGGGCACTCGCAGGGCTGCCCTTAGTGCTGGCTCCTTTGGTGTTTGGTCAAGCAAGAGCTCTGGGAGAAGCTCTTCCCACACTCAGGACACTTGTAGGGCCTCTCCCTGGTGTGGATGCGCCGGTGCTTGATGAGGGTGCAATTACGGTTAAATCCTTTCCCGCAGTCAGGGCAGAGAAAGGGCCTCTCATCTGTGTGAATCCGCTGATGCCTGACGAGAGTGGAGCTGATCTGAAATCTCTTCCTGCATTTATCACATTTGTAGGGCTTCTCCCCAGTGTGGCTCCTCTGGTGGACAATCAGCAGGCAGTGCTCGAAGAAGCTCTTTCCACACTCCCCACACTCGTAGGGCCGTTCCCCAGTGTGGATTCTCCAATGGCGGATCAGGGAGGATCTCTGGCTGAAGCTCTTCCCACATTCTGAGCACTTGTAGGGCTTCTCCCCATCCTGAAGCTGCTCATGGACCCCCACCTCCGAACTCTGGCCGCCTCCCCGGCCCAGGGTGGGTCTTTCCTCCTCAGATCCCCGTGATCTGCGTTTGCAGCCCCTCCTCGTGAGGGATCTCCGGGGCTTTTCTTCCCCGTTAGATTCCTGTGCTGTGGAGCTGCTCAAAATGGCCTCATCCACAAGGTTCTGCTGTGGTGACTCATCCTCCCTGGTCTCCATCCTCAGCTCCTGGTCTGGGGGAGGAAGGACAAGGACAGGATGGGATTTGCCTCTGTGCCACAGGGAAGGGCAAGGAGATCCCCCCAGTGCGTCCCCAGCAGGACAGCTTTGGCAGCAGGGCTGTCCTGCAGCCGAGGGCCGTGCTGGGCTGGGAGATGGAGCAGGAGAGAGGGGGAAAGGGGCACTGACTTCCTCCTCACCTGCCTGGGGCTCCCGGGACATCTTCCTCTTCCTTGCAGCCTACTCCCTCTCCTGCATTGGACCAAGGCTTGCGAATGGGAAATCCTGGTTTGGGCGTGAAAACAAGGCTTACTGAATTGGGTTTGATGTTCCTGCTGCCCAAGTGCAGCTGGAGAAGTCAGCGCCCCTTTCAGCCAAGGGGGGCCCGGAGCCCGCTCATCCCCAGCCTCCCACACCCCTCCAGGCAGCCGGTTTGTCCCCCAGCTCCGGGATCGCCCCTCTGCGCTCTCCCCACTCCGGGGCTCCCGCGTTCCCCCCGGCTCTCCTGGGGATCCCCAAATCCGTGATTGCCGCTGTGCCCGCCGGTACCGGGTGATCGCCAAGCGGGACCCCCAGGATCCCTCCAGGGGCATTTGTGGCTCTGCTTTGGCGTCCAGCAAGATCCAAACATCCCCTGCCTCGCAAAAAAACCCTCCCAGAGACCTCCCCCGATGGATTTGGGGCGAACTCCCCCAACCCGCTCACCTGTGGGTTCCGGAGTGGGGCGATGCTGGCGGGACAGGGGGAGCAGCGGCCTGAACGGGCGGGCAGGGGAACCGCTTGGTTCTGCTGCTGCTGCTCGTATTCCTCCTGTTCCTGCTCTTCCTCCTCCTCCTCTGTCTCTCCTCTTCCTCCCGCTCCTCCTCCGCATCCAGCACGGCCCGGGAAGGGGCCGACATCCAAATGCAGCCGCGCTCTGCCCTAGGGTGGGGTTCCCATAGCCCCGGCCCGCGCGGCACTGAAGTGATACTGGGAACACTGGGTGGAATCCTGAGAGCCGCGGGAAGGAATTGGGAGCGCTTTCCCTGCCAGTCCCGCTCTTACTGGGAGCACTGGGAGGGAACTGGGAGCAAACAGCGCCCGGAGGCGGCTGCAGCCGGCGGTGGGAGGGGCCAAACCGAAGGGCGTGGTTACGCAAATACAGGAGAGATCGCGCACTGGGATTGGTGGGCGGGAGCAGCGCGGGGTTTCCTCGGTCACGTGAGGGTCGGAGCAATGGCGGCGTCGTCCGATGAGAGGGGACAGGGAGCGGGAATGGGAATATGGGACCAGGACAGGGAATATGGAAACCGCAACTGGAGAGAGAATATGAGATGGGGATTAGGAAGATGAGACCAGGATCGCAAACGGGAATACAGGAATGGGACTGGGAACATAGAAAGGGAAATATGGGAACGGACGCACAATCGGCAGTGGGACCGGGAATGTAGGCCTGGAAATATAGGAACGGCAACCAGACAAATAGTGGACCGGGACGGGGAATGAGACTGGGAATGGGATCCAGACTGGGATGGTAGCTGGACGGGACAAGAAGTGCAGTGACATGGGAACGGGTGGGGAGCAAGGGGAGTGACAGCAGGGAGAGGGGGATTGTGGACAGGTGATGTGGGGAACCAGGACAGGGAGTCATGGGGACAGTTCCAGGACAGGGGGTCCTTGATCAGCTACCCAAGAAACTCTGCCATGCTCTCCCAGTGCAGCCAGAGTCACTCAGCCTGGGGTGCCCAAAGCCCAGAGCAGCCCCCAAGTCCCACCCAGGAACCCTCAACTCCCTGGAACATAGCAGCCCCCATATCCCCTGGAAGATCCCCACATGTCCTCATCCTTGTCTTAGTTCAATGTTTTTATTTTTATCCTGGTTTGGGGTGTTTTGAAAGGACAGAGAGAAATTAAAAGATAATCAAGGCCACATGGAGCCATTAAGAGGTGGAGCCCCCAGCGAGGTGTCTTCCCAACACAGCTTACCAGCACCGCAGATCACTGGGGCTCTGCCCACTGGACAGCATGCAGCACAAACACTGCCATGGGGTACGGAACTGTAACAGTGCACACTTGGGGAACTGTAGCAGTGCACACTTGGGGAACTGTAGCAGTGCACACTTGGGGCACACTTGGGGCACTCACAGGGCTTTCCGAGTGGTGCCTCCATTCGTGTTGGGTCAAGGCTGACCTCTGGCTGAAGGTCTTCCCACACTGGGGACATTTGTAGGGCCTCTCCCCAGTGTGGATGCGCTGGTGGGTGACCAGGGTGGAGTTGTGCTTGAAGCCCTTCCCACAGTCAGGGCAGCGGAAGGGTCTCTCATCTGTATGAATGCGCTGATGTACGAGGACATCCGAGCTGCTTTGAAACCTCTTCCCACACTCCCCACACTCGTAGGGCCGCTCCCCAGTGTGGCTCCTCTGGTGGATCATCAGGTGATCGCTCCGGCTGTAGGTCTTCCCACAGTCGGGACACTCGTAAGGCCGTTCCCCAGTGTGGATCCTCTGGTGAAGCATCAGTTCAGAGCTCTGGCTGAATCTCTTCCCACACAGCCCACACTCATAGGGCTTCTCGCCGGTGTGGATCCTCTTGTGGACAATCAGGTTCGACTTCTGGGTGAATCTCTTCCCACACTCGGGACACGCGTAGGGCCTCTCCCCGGTGTGGATGCGCCGGTGCTTGATGAGGTCGGGGTTATATTTGAAGCCCTTCAGGCAGTCGGGGCAGCGGAAGGGCCTCTCATCTGTGTGAATCCGCTCGTGTGTGAGCAGATGGGAGCTTGTCTGAAACCTCTTCCCACATTTGGGACACTCATAGGGCCTCTCATCTGTGTGTGTCCGCTGATGCTTCAGAAGAGTGGAGCTTCTCTGAAAGCTCTTCCCACATTCCCCACACTCATACGGCCGTTCTCCCGTGTGGCTCCTCTGGTGGTTGATCAGGTCAAAGTTATCTCTGCAGCTCTTCCCACACTGCCCACACTCATAGGGCCGTTCCCCAGTGTGGATTCTCCAATGGCGGATCAGGGAGGATCTCTGGCTGAAGCTCTTCCCACATTCTGAGCACTTGTAGGGCTTCTCCCCATCCTGAAGCTGCTCATGGACCCCCACCTCCGAACTCTGGCCGCCTCCCCGGCCCAGGGTGGGTCTTTCCTCCTCAGATCCCCGTGATCTGCGTTTGCAGCCCCTCCTCGTGAGGGATCTCCGGGGCTTTTCTTCCCCGTTAGATTCCTGTGCTGTGGAGCTGCTCAAAATGGCCTCATCCACAAGGTTCTGCTGTGGTGACTCATCCTCCCTGGTCTCCATCCTCAGCTCCTGGTCTGGGGGAGGAAGGACAAGGACAGGATGGGATTTGCCTCTGTGCCACAGGGAAGGGCAAGGAGATCCCCCCAGTGCGTCCCCAGCAGGACAGCTTTGGCAGCAGGGCTGTCCTGCAGCCGAGGGCCGTGCTGGGCTGGGAGATGGAGCAGGAGAGAGGGGGAAAGGGGCACTGACTTCCTCCTCACCTGCCTGGGGCTCCCGGGACATCTTCCTCTTCCTCGCAGCCTCCTCTTCCTCCATCCGGCCAAGGTTTAGGAACGGGAAATCCTGCTTTGGGCGTGAAAACAAGGGCTGAGTGTGTTGGCTTTGATGTTCCCGCTGCCCAAGTGCAGCTGGAGAAGTCAGCGCCCCTTTCAGCCAAGGGGGGCCCGGGGCCCGCTCATCTCTCGCTTCCTTCAACCCTCCAGGCTGCCGGGGTATCCCAGCTGTGTGATCGCCCCTTTGTGCTCTCCCCGCCCCGGGGCTCCCGCGTTCTCCCCGGCTCTCCCTGGGATCCCCAAACCCGTGATCGCCTCTCTGCCCGCAGGGACAGGGCACGCGGGACTCCCCAAGGGTTATTTGTGACTCAGCTTTTGGGTCCTGGAAGATCCTACGATCCCTTCCCCACAAAAAACCTCTCCCAGAGACCCCTCCGATGGATTTGGGGCGAGCTCCCGCTCCCCACTCACCTGCGGGTTCTGGAGGCGAGGAGGGCGATGCAGCAGGAGCCGGGGGAGCTGCGGCCTGAGCGGGGGAACCGCGTGGTGTTGCTGATGCTGCTGCTCTTCCTTGCCCGTCTCTTTCTCCAGTTCCTGCTCGTCTTCTTCCTTTTCCTCTTTCTCTGTCCCGCCTCTTCCTCCCGCTCCTCCTCCGCTCCCAGCACGGCCCGGGCAGTGCCGGCACCCAAAAGGCGCCGCGCTCTGCCCTAGGGTGGGGTTTCCATAGCGGCCCCGGCCCGCGCGGCTCTGGGAGCGGTCCTGAGAGCACCGGGAACGATCCTGAGAGCCGCGGGAAGGAATTGGGAGCGCTTTCCCTGCCAGTCCCGCTCTTACTGGGAGCACTGGGAGGGAACTAGGAGCAAACAGCGCCCGGAGGCGGCTGCAGCCGGCGGTGGGCGGGGCCAAACCGAAGGGCGTGGTTACGCAAATACAGGAGAGATCGCGCACTGGGATTGGTGGGCGGGAGCAGCGCGGGGTTTCCTCGGTCACGTGAGGGCCGGAGCGATGGCGGCGGCGTCCGGTGAGAGGGGATAGGGAGCGAGAATGGGGACCGGGACTGGGAATGGGGCAGGGAATACGGGACTGGGATTGGCAATGCGGACAGGAGCCGGGACCGGGATTGCGAATGGGAATGGGAACAGGGGCCGGGAGTCCGGAACCGGGAATGGGACTGGAAATGCGGGAAAGGGACCGGGAACGGACAGGGATGGGAACCGGGCAAGAGGGACACGGGCAATGGGAGTACCGGGAAGCGGGCGGGAGCGGGGTGACACCGGGGCGAGGAGCGGCCGGGAACAGGAGCGACACTCGGGTGGGGGGACACCGAGGCCCGGGCCGGGGGAGTTAACGGCTCCAGGGGACGCTGTGCACCTGCCCTGTGGGCAGAGGGGACGGCGAGCAGAGGAGACACCAGAACAGGGTGGGGGGGCGAGGGTGACACCGTGGACAAGGAGTCCTGACCGGGGGTTTAACGGAGGCAGGGGACACTGTGGACTGGGCAGTGGGGACACCGGAAGAGAGGACTGGCACCGGACCGAGGGGGACACAGACCGGGGAGTGACACCGAGTACGGGGACACCGGGACAGGGGTGATCCCAGGACACGGGATGACACCAAACAGCGGGGACATGGACCAGGGGTGACACCGAGCAGGGGGGACACCAGACTGAGGTGACACCGGCGGGTGTCCCCAGAGGCCAAGCAGCTGCTGAGCTGCGACCCCAGGTACAGCACATCTGAGGCGGCTTTGGTCCCAGTAGACAGCGAGCTGGGACAGTGGGGATAGCAGGTGGGGACACTGGGGACATTAGCACAAGGGACTGGGATACCAGGGAGGGAGGACGGGGACATGGGGACACTTTTAAAGGGATGCTGGGGTGTCCTGGGACAAAGCCTGGCAGCATCACCGTTGTGAGAAAGGAGGTGATGGCAGTGGTGGCCTTTGTCCCAAACCATAGGGTGACACTGCTTTGGGGTGAAACATGGTGGTGTTGCCAGGGTGGGACAGGGCCTGACCATGGAGGACTTTGTTCCCAAGCATGGGGTGTCACTGTTTTGGGACAAAACTCACCATTGTCACCAGGACATGTGGTGACAGAGGTGGTGGCCTTTGTCTCCAAGGTGATCCTGTTCAGGCTCAGCAACCAGCTGGTGCTGGCCTTCAAGCACCTGTTGGGCTACAAAGATGGCACCAATGACACCCAGGCCATCTACACCTGCAGGAACCTCCTGAAGCACCTGGCCTTTGCCCTCAAAGCAGGTGCAAGCACACAGGCCCATCGCCCCCTTAACCAGGCCCTGTTAAAAACAGTGTACCATGGCGGCAAATACCCTTGCAAACAATCACTTGGCAGGCCAGAACTCTGCTCAAGGGCTCGGCATGCATCCACCTCAAGCAGGTCAAAATTCCAATCAGGGTCCTCAGGTGTAAGAGACGAAATGAGGGATGTGGGACTCCAGGCGGCTCTTCAAAATGCAGTTTATTATATCTAAGATGTTACAGCAGTCCAGGGTCATGGGCGACATAGCCCGTGCCTACAGCTGTTAGCTCCTGCTACAGGAAGGCCTGGAGACCCTTTGGTTTTGGTTACATTGCATTACATACTTTTCTTTGCTGAGCATCTTAATACAGTAGAACCAACCTATACCTTAACTATTATCTATAGCCTATCATTACTGCTATAATTACCATATTCATGTTAGTATTCTCCAATCACTAAAAGTTATTACATTACAGTTTAAGCTAGAAGTTGTTTTTCAGTTTTCTTGCAGTGGAAAATCTGGAGACCTTTTTTCTACTTGCAACATCAGCAGGCTTGTTTGCCTGTGCTATCTTTCTGCTTGGTAAAAACATCTGCTTGTTTGAGGTGGGTTTATCCTTTGCTCTAAGTCATAAAAACCCCCTTCTCACTAACATACCCTTTGCCATCTTCGTTATCCAGTAAGACTGGCTCAGCAATTCTTTTCTTCTATATCAAAACTTGCTTCCATCTCCATTCCTTCATCAGACTCTACATTTAAAAATCTTTCTCCTAAGCATACATATCTGTGAGACTTTCTTGCCAAACTTTCATCCTTCCCAACATCATAGGGGCTTGGCCTGCTTGATGGCAGCACACATCTCGCAGTCATGGATAACCTGAGAAATACTGTCCATGGTTAGATCCACCCCTCGGTCTCGTGCCCACTTATAGGTGGCATCTCTGCCCTGATGGCCTGAGGCATCATGGGCCCATCCAGCTAGGAATAACTCTCCCTTATGTTCCCAATCTAGGTCTATTTTGGACACCCCTATCTTTGCAGCCTGGTCTACCTGCTCATTGTTTCAGTGTTCCTCATTAGCTCTACTCTTGGGTACATGAGCATCCACATGGTGGACTTTCACAGGTAGCCTCCCTACCCTGGTAGCAATGTCTTTCCACTCATCAGCAGCCCAAATTGGTTTTCCTCTATGCTGCCAGTTAGCCTTTTTCCACCTTTCCAGCCATCCTCACAGAGTATTGGCTACCATCCATGAATCAGTGTAGAGGTAGATCTTTGGCCATTTCTCTCTCTTAGCAATGTCCAGGGACAACTGAACGGCCTTGAGTTCAGCAAGCTGACTTGATCCACCTTTACCTTTGGTAGCTTGTGCAACCTGTCATGTGGGGCTCCATACGGGTGCTTTCCAAATCCAATTCATCCCTATGATGTGAGAGGAACTGTCAGTGAAAAGAGCGTATTGTGTTTTCTCTGGTGGTGGTTGGTTGTATGGTGAAGCTTCTTCAGCCCTTGTAACTTGTTCCTGCTCCTCTTCATCAGCGAAACCAAAGTTTTCACCTTCCAGCCAGTTTGTAATTATCCCCAAAATCCAAGGGTGATTCAGGTTTCCTATACGGGCGCGCTGTGTGATGAGAGCAATCCATTTCCTCCATAAAGCGTCAGTGGTGGGGTGGGTGGTGGGAACCTTTCCTTTAAACATCCACTCCAGCACTGGTAGTTGGGGTGCCAGGAGGAGTTGTGCTTCTGTGCCAATCACCTCTGAGGCAGCCTGGACTCCTTCATAGGCAGCCAAGATTTCCTTCTCTGTGGGAGTGTAGATGGCTGTGGACCCTCTGTAACTTCAGCTCCAGAATCCCAGTGGTCGGCCTCGAGTCTCTCCAGGCACCTTCTGCCAAAGGCACCAGGACAAGCCATTGTACGCAGCTGCAGACCAAAGAACATTCCTTACGTCTGGTCCAGTCCTAAATGGGCCAAGGGCTACCACATGAGCGATCTCCTGCTTAATCTGGGTAAAAGCTTGTTGCTGCTTTGGGCCCCAGTGGAAATCGTACTTCTTGCGAGTGACCAGGTAGAGAGGGCTCACGATCTAACTGTACTCAGGAATGTGCATTCTCCAAAAGCCTATGGTGCCTAGGAAAGTGGGTGTTTCCCTCTTGCTGGTTGGTGGAGAGAGACATCATGGTGATCTTACTGATGATCTGAGTGGGAATCTGATGTCGTCCATCTCGCCACTTCACTCCCAAGAACTGGATCTCTCAGGCAGGTCCCTTGACTTTGTTCTTCTTGATGGCAAAGCTGGCCTCCAGTAGATTCTGGATGATTTTTTCTCCTTTCTGAAATACTTCCATTGCCGTGTTCCCCCACACAATGATGCCATCCATGTACTGCAGGTGTTCTGGAGCTTCACCCTTTTCCAGTGCAGCCTGGATCAGTCCATGGCAGATGACGGGGCTGTGTTTCCACCCCTGCAGCAGGTATTTCCAGGTGCACTGCACGCTACTCCAGGTGAAAGCAAACTGGGGCCTGCATTCTGCTGCCAGAGGAATGGAGAAAAATGCATTAGCAATGCCAACAGTGGCGTACCACTCTGCTGCCTTGGACTCCAGCTCATACTGGAGTTCCAGCATGTCTGGCCCAGCAGCGCTCAGCGGTGGAGTCGCTTCATTCAAGGCAGGAGAGTCCACAGTCAATCTCCATTCTCTGTCAGAATTGCACACAGGCCAGATGGGGCTGTTGAAGGGTGAGTGAGCCTTACTGACCACCCCTTGGCTCTCAAGCTCACAGATCATTCTGTGGATGGGGATCACAGCATCTTGATTCATTTGATACTACCAGCGGTGCACCGTCAAGGTGGCAGTCGGCACTCGTTGCTCTTCCACCTTCAGGAGTCCTACTGCAGATGGGTCTTTTCATAGTCCAGGTAAGGTGTTCAACTGCTTCATGTTCTCTGTCTCTACAGCAGCTATTCCAAAAGCCCACCTGAGTCCCTTTGGGTCTTTGTAAAGCCATTCTGGAGGAAGTCTATGCCCAGAATACACGGGGCCTCTGGGCCACTCACATTAGGAATTTCTGCCACTCCTTCCCAGTCAGGCTCACCTCAACTTCCATCAGAGTCGATTGCTGTGATCCCCCCATCACCCCGGCAATGGAAACGGCTTCTGCCCCCACATGTCCCGATAGTATCAGGGTACGCTGTGCATCAGTATCAACTAAGACTTCAGAGCCATATTTCTGTGGCTCTGATGTGCCAGGTTAGGAATCCACACCATCCAAAAGACCCAGTTTTCCTGTGCCTCTTATTGGCTAGAGGCAGGGCCCCTCTAGGCCTGGTTTTTACTTCTTTCCTGGGCATACATACTAGATGTTCCTTCAAGGAGATATGACAGATCATACCTGGCAGCTTGGTCAATGAAGGCTTTCACTTCAGTGGAACATCACTTGCTTAATGTTTACCTCCTTGAGCTGGTGCACCCATGCTGCCAGAACAG